GCAGTTTGTTCCCGGAAAGGATGATTCTGTACGTGGGTCCGTATGGTTTTATCACTTCATTTTTATTTTTGTGAATTTTATGTAATATTTTGCTGTTTGTCTTTTCTTTTAAGCACTAGTTTATGTATGAAAGTGGGGGGTATAATTATTGCGACCTGCTGATTTTTCGGATAAAGGTCAAGGTCGTGGTTCAAATGAGACAATGAATTGAAGACATGAAACCATTACTTCAAATGTATGTTTTAGTAACTGATGGTATAACATGTAAGTCGGCTGTTTACAAACGAACTCATACAGATACTCAAATGTCAAAGTCAAGGTCAACTACATCATTTGTTTTAACAGACAGATATATATACATGTATTTTAGTCTCACTTGTTTATGCAGTCAACCAACCGCGCAGCGATTTATGGGAGACGCTTCTGCATACAAACTAAAGACATATATAATATAAAAGATATAAAATATATATAAACATGTACACGGTATTTATATAAAATATCACGACGTATATTAAGGATCTTATTGCAGGCCTTGTCACTATTAATGGTTAGGACCGGGTTGCTAAGTAAAGTACAAACCTGTCCCTGTTGAGATAAAAATTCAAAACCCTCTAGCTTGCTACAACAGCACACAAATAGCTCAGTAGTAACGGTGTCGTATAAAGGACAGAAAAGTAAAACGTGCATTTCAACTCCTATAATGTTAACACAATTAAAACAGTACTACCGTATTTGTCTGTCAAAATCGTGATTGTAATCAGCTAGTTACTTACAGTGAAACGTTAAGAGCTATGTCTAGTTCCAACTTCCAACTTGTGAATTGTAGTAGCCGTTCCTGACGTGGTAGACATGTCAAAAATCGTTATCTGAGATTTCTGAAAAACGCAATTTCAGCAACGTACTGACACGTTTCACTGTCTACTTCGAATTTTACCCCGACCATGTTCACGTGCACATCATGGACAACGCTTACATGTTTGCACAAAATTCACAAAAAGTGAATGGTTTAATCATTTTCTATCCATATACCATCAAAATGGTGATGTAACTACTTCCGTTTTCACTGTTAACCAGCTTCTGTGTATATTCTGATTTATCAAATCAATGATCAGTGGCAGGGTAGATCTTATATTATCTTCTATTGATACCATTAGCTGATAGTAATAATAGTAGCTGACAGTAATAAAACTGTCAGCTGCGAATATTTAACACATTTTATCAGTCATGTTCTTCTGTACTAAGACCCTTGTCGTAGGAGTACACTTCGATTGAATTTAGTTCAGCTAAAATATATTTATTCACAATTTGTCATATTGCCTTGATCCCAAAGGAACCTCATGTGGGGCACATTCAGGGGTTGTCACGCAGATTTCCGGCTACTGTGACACGACAGTTAAAGGGCCACTGATGCAGAGCAATTTCCGTGGACTGGTTGTTGCTTTTGTTATTGTTTTTCTCCCGTGAGTACCTGGATGATATCCCAGAATTCATGACTGGTTCGTTACCTCTGCTGCGCCACCACTATGCGCAATTAATAGAAAACGTATAGACTGATCAACAAAGATGAAATCTTTTTTTACTCGATAATCTTGATGTTGTAAAATTATGTAGACTGTGATGAATACTTTGGTTTCTTATAAAAAATATTCACTTTGATATGAGTAACTAAGTACATGGGGAGTCTTGGGGAGAGTAGTAAGCTTCGGTTCACTACTAGTCAATCTTAATGTTGTATTAAAAGGCATTATTTTGATAACCAGTGTAAACATTTTAAGTTTAACCATCTGCCAGTGGTAAAAAAATGTTAGGACTGGAATGACGAAGTCAATGTTCGTCTTTATATTTTGTCTTATAATCCTAATTAGTTTTATTATCATATTTGTATGCATTTTGAAACTTAATAAAATGCACACGATCTGCTTATACTTAGTGAATTTATAACATAACATGACTGTAATATCTAGGCGTGTATCATATTTCACACACACGCCCTAAGTGCGATCTAGTGTATGTTGTCTGTCTCATTACCTTTCACGGCAGATTAAAACAAAATGCAAATATTAAAATTAAAACAGACTAAAGTTATAGCAACAATATCAGGCTATTACCATGTTAGGGGGATGTATCCATCAATATCCACATAAAGTAATGAGATGCCATTCATCTGCAGCTGACAAAGAATCCTGTTCCATGCCATGTGTCCGTAACGGTCTAATATGCGAAAAAGTTATCTAACGTTTCAGGTTTTTGACTTTGGTGTATCCTATTGGTCCCCCAAGATAGCACACCTGGCAAGTAATTGCATGATGTCCGCCATTAGTTAGCCAATAATGAGCCACCAATCAAGGTTTTGGCGGTGAATCCTTTGAAGGAAGGGCGTTGTTTTTACAAAGAAACTTTACGACAGGGTGTATTCAGTATAGATTAGTGAATCTACACCCATAAACACTACCTTTTGACAAATCCGCTGTGCAGGATAAAAGCAATTAATCAATCAGCGTGTTATCGGTTAATCCTTTGATCGATGTTTGTTTTGAAACTCAGCTGATAATTCCTCTTGCTGCACTTCCATGCGCATATTACATAAGATGTAATACATTTGCCACATGAGACAAATTTATAATGATGAGTATTTACTTCAGACACAAGAAATGCCAAATGGGAACGTTTGTCGGGTAATCTGAGTGGTGTTATCACTAATTATACCTGTTATAAATTCATTAACTGACCATCAAGTGAATGATGACAAATAACATGTGTAGATTTATCACCAAACAAGGTAGTAAGAGAGTAGTAATCGCTGTATTGCATGCAAGTTTGATTGTCTGAAAAAACCCTTATGAGCCGTCACTGTTTTGAGGATACGAACGCAACTTCATTGTTACATAAGAAATATATATAAACATTTGCTGTGTACTTATTTAGAAACTGTATATATCTATGTACCTAAGTACAACTTCAGATATTCTTTTTAGCAATGGCAAAGGGGGGTTGTTTAGTTTATGGATTTAAATATATCAAATGTGTGTTTTTGATATCATAGCATAAGTAGTATACATCATGTTTTTACATGATTAAATATCGAGGTAAAAAACACAGAAATAGGACCAAATTGGATCAGTCACTATACCATCCAAACATTTGTAAATCTGAAAAATGCCTACACTGCTGAGATACTTTATTACTATCAAACAAGAACTACCGGGGATATTTTCAAATAACGGCATCTGATGGGCATCCACCCTTCCTAATCCTAATGTCCCACTGATTAGGTTGAAGAAATTCTGCCAAGGTGGACAGTAGCCAAGTCCCCGTGTCCGTGACGGTCGAAGGAGCAGGGTCTGACCAGTTTGCAGCTAGGTTTCGTAATTAGACTGTTGGCTGGAAACATTAATCGCTCTGCAATAACACTCATATTCCTTACAAAAATGATGATAGGTGTTTGACCCCGAGGCTTTCAACGCCCCAACTTTATGACCCCCTGAATGATCATTCTGTTCGCGACAGCACTATGTCGTGCATAAGTATATTTAAAACGTCAAAATATCCCTTTTAACTCGTTCCAGAGATTGTACTGTGTTGTCGTCATATGTCAAAGATAAGTGCCAGTTCTGTGAAAAATGTCTGTATTCACTATTGAAGTTTCAGAATGGTTTTGTTTATGATGGATATAACACTTGCTCTAAGTCGCTGACAAGGCTGTCCACGGTGGCACACTAACAAAGTTTTCTAGATGTTTAGACCGAGGAAAATTATCTCGTGAAGTATATAACAAGTGAAACATCACTGACATCCAACATCAGAGAGAATGTAATAAGTTTTACGCCACCGTTAGCAATATTCCAGCAATATCACGGCTGGGGATACCAGGGACGGGATTCACACATCGGTCCTTGTGGGGAATCGAACCCGGGTCTTCGGCGTGAATAGCAAACGCCTTAACCATTAGGCTACCCCACCGCCCACCAACATCAGAAAATATAGGGGATGATGATACTAATGTTAATTGCACAAGTTCGATTTTAAGTTTTGATTGTAGCGAGCTAACAATGCCAATATTACACACACACATCAAAGATATAGATTTGTCTTTTGTGTGGGAACATTGTCATTTCTACTATGTAACAAGGAATATCATTGTGTGAATGTTTCAAGATCTATGAAAACAGTCAATGTGTAAACTAGTGCTACATACGCATTGACGATGTGAAAATATTCCTCACAAAATATTCCTTTCTTCAGGTTTTGTGTATTTGTTTTGTATTGCTTCTATTTTGTCATGATATATAGGGGGGGCGGTGGGGTAGCCTAGTGGTTAAAGCGTTGGCTCGTCACGCCGAAGACCCGGGTTCGAATCCCCACATGGGTACTTTGTGTGTAGCCCATTTCTGGTGTCCCCCGCCGTGATGTTGCTGGAATATTGCTAAAAGCGGCGTAAAACCAAACTCACTCATGATATATAGGTATAAGTGTTGAGAAATAATAAAAAACACATAATTGTAAATTTTCAAAGTATAGATATGTTGTATTGATCGTTCATGCAGATGAGAAATGCACCAAGTGGTATTGCCCACAAATTCATTTTGGGTGAGGCTGCCATACCCCAAGCGGCCTTACATAGATTCAGTGTACAACTTACTGAGTGCATTCTTATTACCCTTGTTACTGTAACACAATACCAGGTTTACTTCTGTACAGAAACAATACCTTTCAAAGATGCTTCACTAGGTTCTACAAGTAAAATATAAAATATATACATCATGACATAGTGTGACATTGAAACGAAAACAGATGCCTACACATAATGTCTCCACAATTATGAAGCATGTTATTAAGTTTGATGTTTCCTTTAAGACTTTGGTCCACGAGCGTCAGTTCCAGCTGAAGTGCATGTAATAATAATAGCATACCACAACATATAATATCAATACTGGTGATACCGTACAAACACCACAGAAGGCAAACTGATTGTGTTTTGAAGTGCTTTAATGGTTCAGTTACAGTGTAATGGATGTGACAAGAGCTTCCAGGGAGTTGATACCATAACGTTGGGGACATCTTGTACCGTTCACGTCTTTCCCCTTCAGCTCATCTCCAACAATGATCTCCTTGCCCAGCTGTGTCTGACACCAGGTTATCACCTCATCATGGTAGGGGGTGGGGACTCCAGCGATCTGGGCGAGCCCTTTGGTCACCACCAAGCCGTATGGTACGTCCTCGCTCAAGTACCTGTAGCGAAAGTCTGGAACAAATTTGCCATCTTCTGTTTCCTTCATTGGATGGACGAGACCGTCATATGCTGTGTCTGTCTGCATGACAGTCTTGAGACTGGTTGAATCTCGAATGTAAGGTTTATGGTCTCGGAGGTACCAGTCGTAAAGTTGAAGGACACCGGAAAGATTCACTTCCGGCCTCTGTGTCGCAATTGCTTTAGCCGTGGCTACTAACTCGTCGCTAACACCACCAAGGTAACGAACTTGATCTTCGTCAAGCCCTTGGTAGAAAAGGGGCTTCTTGTCAAGTGGCTTACCATCCCAATCCTTCCACTTGCCGTACATTATCGGAGGGTGGATGATAGACTTGGTGGCCAGAATTGGCTCGATGTAATTGTTTGCCACAGTAAGAATAGGCGCTTTTCCCATCACTCTCTGAAGAGCTTCCATTGGATCATATGAAGGCTTGCTCTGACCTCGAATTATGCATCCCATGAGGTTTACCTTTACCATCAAGACACGAACACATTTGCCGAACTCTGCGATCCTACAAGCCCAAGGCAAAGACTCAAAAGACATGATGACACACTGCTTGGCCTTGTCCTTAAGCACATCAAACACCTGGAACACAAAGCCAGGCTGACCGGGCATTCCAACAATGGTGGTGTTCGGCTGAATGTATGGTTCAATGGCTTCGAGGTAGCTTTGATGGGCAAATGCTGGAGATGTAAAAATTATGACATCTGCTCCTGGAACCGCCTTCGATGCATCTTTGGTAATGGAACGCAGTTGAACATTGAATTCGGTCGGTTCACCTTTTCCGTTATCACCTTCGTCCACTGTAATTCTGAGCGTGTCCTCCTTCATGATGTTCGTCCATCTTTCTGCACTCCCAGGATACAGCGTGAGCACCCTCGTTTCAATGTTCTCACGTGACGCAGCGAGACCCGCTGTGACATGGCCACCATTTCCTGCACCACAAACTAGAACGGTAACCGGTTGTGCCATATATATATGAAATCCAAAAGGGGAGTCTGAAAATAAATAAGATTTTATGTTTAAGGTGCTAGATGTGATTGAAAGCACATTTATCACACATTTGTTGTTAGTATTGAAACTTTACCATCGTGATCCAGCCCGATTAGTGTTATCCGCTCGTATAACCTTCGCTGCAAAAAATGTCTGAGTGCAGCCAGTTTTTACCACGTGTCCTTCGCCCATCCAATGTGTGTGTTTTGGGGGGAGGGGGGAAGAGAAAATAGATAAGGGGAGGGGGGGATATTTTTGTGAAGCAAAACAATTGTGAAGCCTATGTAGACCAGACCTTACACAGATGTGTGTCAGAACATTACTAATTATGACAGGATAAACAGGAATATCCCCACGCAATTCTAATTAGACGCCATATAAATCTTATCTAAAGGTGTGTTAATTCTACAAACATGCTAACATGGCATGCATTGGTGAAAGTGTGAAACGACCCTTGACTTTGACCTTGTTTTCCTAATCTTCTTGTCCGAGAAGGCAAAATGTTTAAAGATTCTTTGTGAATTTATTGATGTACTGTTTGAATGTGTTGCCGCTGAAGCCTAAGTTCCAGTCATGTCATCATGGACCCGTGAAGGTCCGGGTTAGAATGAACCTTCAGTGACCCTTGCGACTAACGGGATCGGGTGATCAGGCTCGCTGGCTTCGTTGACACATGTCATCGGTTCCGAATTGCGCAGATCGATGCACATGCTGTTGATCACTGGATTGTCTGGTCCAGACTCAAATATTTACACACCGCCGCCATATAGCAGGAATATTGCTGAGTGCGGCGTAAAACTAAACTCACTCACTCATGTCATCATGGCATTATGGTAACATGAATGCACTATGACAGAAAGTCAGTTCTGAAACCTAATACACGAAAATAATTCCACACATTAAACATGTTCTTGAAGTAATAATACACGAAAGATGACTTACCTAAAGTAGATGGAGAAATAAGGTTGGTAATGCTGACGTAAAGCAATGTGCACTCCAGAGTCTGTTAGATTAGCATAGTGATTTGAATTGTGCTCCCCCGACGCTTTTATTGCCCAAATGATGGTGATGAAGAAACGCAGCTTGCACTGATTGGTCGAACTGTAGATTAGAAAGAACTGACATGCACGTAGGTTATGTAACTGACTGGGATGAAACAAAGAGGGATTACCCCAAGGACAATGCCAGGTCAGGCCCGCAAGTGCATGAAAGGCAACAACACGGTACATGCACACGAAGGTGGCACTACACGTCCATTGAAGTATGCCTGTATTTGTTTAAAACAGCAGCTGGTTCATTAAGAAATGTCGAAAATAGAGAGGGGGGTAACGTACAACCCTGGCGCAGATCAAATAACAAATAGTCTTTGTCACCAAAACCATGTGTGTTTAGATGAAATCAAACGAAACATACTGGGTGTGAAAACGAACGCTGTGCTCATATGGAAATGTAAACGTGTTAGGAATGTAAACTGTGTAACATTATTATGACAGTTCCATACAAAAAGGTCTATCTTTAATTGTACACGTATAAAAATATGATAGCCACATAATCATAAACAAAGAAACGTCTTATCCTAACAACGCATTCATCTATGTAACTTTGTCGTTGGGTGAATTGCACGAACTGTTATTTAAACTAGAGTCTTGTATCTGCTGGAATATGATCACCAATAACCCGATTTTCATAAATTAGAGAATTTTTTTAGCTGTAATAAGTTAGAAGAAGAAGATTAGTTTTAAAGTGTCACACGCTGTACAAAATATAGACACATAAAATGAAAGCAAGCCAACAGCAATCAAATCTCTTTAACAAAAATTATAAGATGGGTCTGTGAGTCATTCAAAATTACTCGTTGGTCAAAAAGTTAAGATAAACCCTCTGTTATCACTGCTTAAGCGGCTCAGGTGAGTTTAATGCGTGTATAATTAAAGGTGACATACCAAAATGTATCCTTCACGCTATTCCCACGCTTGCAACAACAGTGTCATGATTAAGCTACCCCGTGGGCAAAGCGGTTATAAGCCAAATTAACCCCTTTAATTAATCTATGTCTGTTATCTCTATTGTATAATGTGTCACATGGAGCTGTAAATGCCACCATATCTGAAGATAATACTTATTACACCGACGCACAATAATCTATCTAATGATTTGAGCGTAGCTATCAATGAGGTGCACTGGTACGTCCTGGTACTAAGAGCTGAAACTAAGAAGTAGGTGTGAAATCAACCAAAAACCAAACAATGTTATATAATCAACAACTGTATTCTAAATTTAACTATTTTTCAAATTAATAGAAATCACTGCAGTACAAAATAGAGGTTGGTATATTTAGCAATAACGACAGAGATGATACTATTTACCCACTGAAACAATGGTGACGTTTAGATTGAGTTTAGTTTTGCATCTCATCGGTATTTATTTAGCCGTATAGCGGCGAGACCAAGTCTGCATGCATGGACATTTTAAGTACAAAGATTAAATGAGTTGTGTTTTTTAGAAACAATAATTACATTATTACTTACCATCAGAAAATAATCATAGCACTAAAATCCCATAGGACAAAATGTCTGCACACTGCGGAAAAAATCCCTACAGTGTGAAAAATGACATACAAGGTATTTTGAAATAGTTATTTTTATTTGGCCGCATAAGTAAGCAGTATTGACCATACGCACTAATAATATGATTCAATGCAATCGCATTACATGCATCAACCTGGTATAATTTGATGGTACATGTAATCATCTAAAGCATCATTCTAGAACGTCATCATCGTTGTACATCTTACTTGATGTTCGACTGGATGACTATGAGATAGATTCATAGTACCTTTAAAGTGCAGGAAGTAAAAAAAGTCACATTGAAACATATATACATATATCTCATATGAAAAATAGTGGCAGCAGGTGTATCAATGGTTATCAAAGGTTAATACAGGTGTATGGTTACCTGATAGAGTAATATTACCTTTCAAGCACAGGATGAAAGAGTCACATTGTAACACATATATATATATATATCATATCAAAATAGTGGCAGCAAGTATATCAATGTTTATCATTCAAGTACATAGAAAAGAAAAGCGCCACATTGTAATAACTATCAAGTAGTGATACTACTACTACTAATATTAGTAGGGAAAATACTTCGATTTTGCATCATGAGTTATATACAGAAATCCAGGCCTTTTCAGGTCTGAGGAGATGCGACACTATGTTATAGTGCCATGGATAGGAAGCTGTGTTAATACAGTAGTGCATTTACCTGATGCCTTCACGGTAATAGTTCGAATACAAAGAGAAACACAATCACATTGTAGTAGATATCACTTATGACAAGCGGTGGCAGCAGGCACATCGATTGTTTTAGAGATTAGTACCGTAGTGCTTTAATTGATGCTTTCATGGTACTTTTCAAGTATAGAAAGAAAAAACAGTCACATTGTAATAAATATCACAACAGTCAACTAATGGTAGCAGGCGTATCAATGTTTATCAAAGGCTGCCATTTCTTACTAAAAGTATTGGCTTTTAGATTCATATTTTGCAACATGTTTTTCAATATTCATTATGTCCTTGACTGTTTTTACAAACTAGTCGAAGCAAGCGTTTGTGAGTTAATACTGTTATTGTGAATGAATTTTTTCGCAATCAGAATCAAGTGTTTTTGTAATATAAAGCATCTGGGTAGTCCAAAAAAGACAACTCCCTTTGGTAGTTTACATCTGCTAGTACACCCTCTGTTCATAAATTCTGCTACTAGCTTCCAGAAACTACTGTCATGTAAAGAAACGTGCATTTAATATTGTAGGTCTTTTTAATTATAACAAATGAAAGAAAGCCTTCATTATCACATAATCCTTTATGGCTGCGATTCCTTGTTTAAACCAGTTTTTATTTTTAAGTTTTTGTTCTGATGATTAAGCCATAGAGGTTCATTGAGGATATTCTGGATATCGTACGTGGTACTATGACGACTACTCAACGATAAGGTTCAACAGGCAACGGGATCACAGATGCAGCCAGAAATTATTCAAACAGACTTCGAACTGGCAGCCATCAACGCCGTAGAATCAACATTCCCGAACTGTGATGTCCGTGGATGCTATTTCAACTAGCCGCATCTATGAAGACTCCCCTAAAATATTTGACAGCAGCTGGTGACCTAGTCAACCTTTCGTAATGGACTTTTGAAGTGTATTCTTTGAGTAATACAAACAAATGTTAATAAACGTAATAAAGTATCACTCCTGTTGTTTTCTTATTTCTTTCTAAGTATTAATTTTAATGTATATACATAAATGATATAATTAATTGAGTTCTATTTCAATATTTTAAACTAGTAAAATTCCAGTAAAGAAGATAGTTGCACATACAACACTCACTCCTGTTTCTTCTTTCTTAAATTATACAGTTTCTGAACACTGTAGGCGAAAGTCCAAAATCTAAATTGGCTGTGTCCATTTATTTCTCAGGGAGAAGGTAGTTACAAATATAACCACTGGTGCGTGAAATTGTTTATTTAAGCCTGTAGGCAAAAGTTACTGTAGGCAATAGTAGACTCCACCGATGGACCATGTTGATACGAGAGTGCCATGATGAAGAAGACTGGATGTTGCCACCTAGTCAATATGACATTATTAAAAAACGTTTCAAGTGAATGTTATCGTCCTGAATACTGTAAGCTAAATTGGACTACAAAATAATCCGCAATATTTAGGGGTTAAATGGATTCCAGGGAACGACAGGGGGATGCTTAATCTCACTGTGGTGTCCTCCCATTACGCAGACAGCCAGTTTGCAGACACCTTAAAACAACAACATTTACGGTTCAGTGAACAGATTATCTACTACCTGTTACCTACACATTATAATGGAATAGTCCAAATAAAAACATAGGAACAAACTGAAGCTATATTATTTATTTTGAAAGATGGACGAAAAGACAGTAATTTGAATTTTTATTGCTGCAAT